CCTGGTTCTGCCTTCAGACTCACCCAGCCCTGGTGCTTACAAGAATTCGGAGAGTGAACCAGCAGATAGGAGCTCCCTTCATCTGCCTCTCTCTTCCTCAAATAGTAATAAATAAACAAACAAACAGGGGAGACCTTTAAGATGCAGCAAGTTACGCAGCAGCTTCTGAAGCCAGAATCCCACAGTAGAGACACAGAAGGGATTTCTGGCTCCTGACTTTGGCTTGGCTCAGTCCAGGCTGTTGCAGCCATTTGAGGAGTGAACCAGGAGGCAGAAGGATGGAAGATATTCTCTTTCTCTCACTCTTCATGTCATTCTATCTGACGAGTAAACAAAAAGTTAAAAAAAAAAAAAAACTATCTGAATTTAAAAATGAATAAATGATTAAAACCATCTTAAGCCTTGATAACCTGCATCTATTACTTGGCCATACAGTATGCATCCTTAATTTGACTTCAGTGCCCCACCACCTGCAGATTATGGATTGTAGGAACATGCAGGAACATGCACCGCCGTGGCTCACTAAGCTAATCCTCCACCTAGCAGCGCCGGCACACTGGGTTCTAGTCCCAGTCGGGGTGCCAGATTCTGTCCCAGTTGCCCCTCTTCCAGGCCTGCTCTCTGCTGTGGCCCGGGAAGGCAGCGGAGGTAGAGGATGGCCCAAGTGCTTGGGCCCTGCACCCCAGGGGAGACCAGGAGAAGTACCTGGCTCCTGCCTTCAGATTAGCGCAGCGCGCCAGCCGTGGCAGCCATTGGAGGGTGAACCAGCAGCAAAAAGGAAGACCTTTCTCTCTGTCTCTCTCTCTCACTATCCACGCTGTCAAAAAAAAAAAAAAAAAAAGTCTATAGAGCAGTTGATAGAATTTATGTATAGAAAAAGTCCATGAAGACTTCTACAAGCAGAGTAACAACTTGTTAACAAACAATGAGTTAAAAATAGATCACTTCCAGAAAAAGCAAAATACAAACTATCATTACCTTTGAAATAAGGCTGCAAAACAGAAACAGCATTCTGAAAAATTTGCCTGAGTGCTATGGTTTGAGCATGGCCCCCAAGAAGTTCATACGCTGGAAGCTTGGTCCCCCGTGTGGTGACACTGGGAGGTGGAGAAGCTTTGAAAGGTGGGGCCAGGGAGAGATCCTTAGGTCACCAGAGTGACCCACTTGCAGAAGGGATGCACACAGTTCTCACAGGATCCTGGGTAGTTCCCGTGTAAGCAAAGTGTTTAAAAAAATAGTAATAATGGGGCTGGCACTGTGGTGTAGCAGATTGTTGCCGCCTGCAGTGCTGGCATCCCATATGGGTGCCAGTTCAAGACCCAGCTGCTCCACTTCCGATCCAGCTCTCTGCTATGGCCTGGGAAAGCAATAGAAGATGGCCCAAGTCCTTGGGGCCCCTGCACCCCCAAGGGAGACCCGGAAGAAGCTCCTGGCTTCGGATCGGTGCAGCTCTGGCCATTGAGGCCAATTGGGGAGTGAACCATCGGATGGAAGACCTCTTTCTCTCTCTCTCTCTGCCTATCCTTCTCTCTAACTCTGACTTTCAAATAAATAAATTTAAAAAATAGTAATAATAAAAGCAAGCTTAGCTCCTGAAGTCCTCTGGCTTCCTCTACTAGGTGTGTGCTTCTGTGAGCACTCCTGCCATTGTGACGCCATCTTGCCACAAGGCCTTCACCACAGGCTGAACTGATGGGGGTCACCTGAGCTTGGACGTGAATTACCCCTCAATAAACCTCTCTTCTTTGTAACATACCAAGCTTCAGGTACTCTGTTACAGCATCAGAAACTGGTCTAATACATGGGCACAAATGCATACTGACCCCAGACGTAATTCCACAGAAGCATTCAAGAAGACCGTCAAGAACATTCCCCTCAGCGTCTACACTCCTTTCTCCCTCCGGTGGTGTCCTCCTCATCTCCCCACCTCTCACATGAGGATCACCCCACTCTCACCCCAGAATGCAACCTCTGCCCTCCTCTCTTTCCTGCTACATTCACTCACCAACTTCATGGCTTTAAGTCTGCGTGTACAGCCTGGACTTCTCCCTCGAGCGATGTCTTGACTATCTGACATTTCCATTTTGAAGTCTAACAAAGCTGAACTCCTCTGCAACCCGCGTCTCTATCAGCATTCCTATTTCAGGAAACAGACAGAGGAGCTTATAATTGTTCAAAATCCTGGAGTCACCTTTGGTCATGTTCTTTGAGTGCTTGCCACCACGTCAACAACACTGACATCCACACAATTCATCAGCAAGTCTTACTAGACCTACTTGCAATACTGATGCAGCCTCTGACTCCTTCCTGCCACTTCACCAAGCCTTCAACGACTCTCTCAAATACGTAGAGCCTTCCAAACGGCCTGCTCTCCCTGCACCTCGGATGTAGGCTGAGCAGCATGGCAGCCCAAAGGTCCTTTTAGATATACATCAGATCTTAGCCGGCGCCGCGGCTCACTAGGCTAATCCTCTGCCTTGTGGCGCCAGCACACCCGGGTTCTAGTCCCGGTCGGGGCGCCGGATTCTGTTCCGGTTGCCCCTCTTCCAGGCCAGCTCTCTGCTGTGGCCAGGGAGTGCAGTGGAGGATGGCCCAGGTGCTTGGGCCCTGCACCCCATGGGAGACCAGGAGAAGCACCTGGCTCCTGCCATCGGATCAGCGCGGTGCGCCGGCCGCAGCGCGCCGGCCGCGGCGGCCATTGGAGGGTGAACCAATGGCAAAGGAAGACCTTTCTCTCTGTCTCTCTCTCTCACTGTCCACTCTGCCTGTCAAAAAAAAAAAAAAAAAAAAAAAAAAGGAAGAAGAAGAAGATACATCAGATCTTGTCATTACTGGGTCCAAAACCAGCCAGCTGCTTCCCATTTCAGAGTAACAGCCTTCCCACCTACCCTTTCTCTATGACCCAACCTTCTACCCTCCCCTTACCTCAGCTGCAGCCGCATCAGCCTCCTTGCTGGTGCCAAGTGCTCTCCCAGCTCAGGGTCTCTGCACCTGCTGTGTGCCCTGCCTGCAACGCTGGCCCCTCAGGGGGATCCGCTCAGTGATCTTCCCTGCCTGCTTCAGGGCTCGATTCAAGCGTCTCCTTCTCCATAAGGCCTTCTCCTAGCACGATACTTAAAATGACAGCCCCAGCATCCCACCAGGCTGCTGGCATTCCCCTGCCTTATTTTTTCTCATAGAAGTTGTTAACATCTGGCAAAATGTAGTACATTTCCAGTATCTGTTTACACTAAAATGTAAGCTCCATGATGCTCTGTTCACAGCTGCCCCAATGTCTAGAACACAGTGTACACACAGAGGCTCTCGAAACTGCTCAAGGAATGAATGATACTGATAAGTTATCAAGCAAAATGCATTATTACTTAAAAACACCAAGTATAATGAGGAGCAATATCCCAACAGCCCACACTTCCATACAGCATTGCAAAAAAGAGAAGCCAGTTTGCTTCTAAAAAATGCATCAACATTTAATTTTTTACTAATCAGCTTTGTTAAACTCATCTGCATGTGCCCAAAGAGTCCCAGTCAACAATTTTACAAAATGCTGCTTTAGCTTCTGTAGGCAAAAAGGGGAAAAAAATCTCCAGGTTTCTTCCTTTCACCTGTCACCACTGACAGTCGGCTTCCAAGTGACCCCAGCACCACACACGCTCAGGATGTGTAGGGAAGAAGGGACTCCTAGGAAAATAATACCTTCACCAAACCCAAGACCAATCTCTTTAAATCCCTCTGCACATATTTTTTCTAAGAAAAAAAAATTCTTAACATGTACATGAAATCTCAGTGGAAACAGTATGATTACATAATTACGCACACAGGAAAACCCTGGTACTCCATTATCCCTCTTTTCCAAAAACAAAACAAAACCAAAAAAACCCCACATTTTGACTAAAACTAGATATACTGCTTTTGTCGAACATATTTTGCTGCGAAGGTAACTTAAAAAAGATATTCACGTGGCTAAGACATGGATTGGTGGGTACTGTATTCTAGGGCTGAACCGTAGCATTAACTATTGTTTAGTGTTTAATACATTTTCCTCAGTCCCCAGAAAGAGAGAGCGAAAAATGCACACTGGTGCAATCAGCAGGGAATGCTGTCTCCAAAGGAAGCCGGCCTGCAAGGCGATGACCTAAGTGTTTCTGACACAGATAAAGTTCAGGCGCTAGATGTCACCTGTCTCACCCATTTAACCCTCCCGAACAGAAAAGACCCAGCTCAGACGCCACGGGGGTACGCAGACAGGCACGGAAAACGCACCGAGCCTCCCCTCGCCCTCCCGCATCCCCCGGCCCCCGCCAGCCGCACACTGCGCCATCCAGGGAGACCCCAGCCCCTGCAGGAGACCCCCGCGGCAACGCGGCGCGCAGCTCCGACCGCTCCAACTCCGGGACGCGGGCGGCAGAGCCAACAAAGCGACCAGCCGGGTCCCGAGCGTCCAAAGGTCCCCGCCAGCGGCCGCCACCCGGCCAGGTCGCCGCGATTCCAAGAGGTGACTCGACCGTCATCGCGGGACCGGGCGCCGGTCCACCGCGAAGTCCGAGCCGCCGGCCGCCCCCGCGCGCCCGCGCGCACCCAGCGGGCGGTCGAGCGCCTCCGGACGCCCCCTCCCCGGACCCGGCCGGGCCCAAACTTGGCCGCCGGGCGGCGGGTAGGGGGTCCAGGGCACCGTGGCCAGGCCCGGAGCCGCGGGTCGCCAGGCGCGCCGCAGCCGGCGACGGGCGGCCGAGGAGCCCGGCGTGGGCCATGCCCTCCGGCCGCCCGTTATTAATAGCCCCGCGCCGGGGAGGCGCGGCCGCGGAGGGCGCCGCAGCGCACCCTGCACGCGGAATACCTAACAATGTCATTAAGTCGCCGCCGAGCGAGCGAGCGAGCGAGCGCCCGTCCGGCCGCCGGGGAGCTGACTTTGTCTGCAGCCCGCACCCCGCCTCCCGCGCGGCCCCGCAGCGGCTCCCGCGCGCCTGAGGGGGACGCCCGCGCCGCCGCAGCCCCGGCCTTACCCGCCAGCTCGTCGGGCTCCAGCCCGCTGTCCGCGTCGATCCCACACAGCACGAAGTAGTGCGCGAAGCGGCAGGCGGCCGGGGAGGAGCCCGAGCCCGGGCCGGGCGCCGCGCCGCCGCCGCCGCCGCCGCTCATCCCGGCCGCGCCGCTCCCGCCGCCGCCGCCGCCGCCGAAGGCTCGCTGAGGGGCCGCCGCGCCGGCTGCGGTCTCCGCGCCCGCCCTAGGGCCGCGCCGGCGCGCCCATGGCCGCGCGGCCGCCCCTCGCCGCCGCCGCCGCCGCCGCCGCCTGGCCCCTGGCTCGGCGCCGGGGAGCGGCCGCGGCCCGCGCGCGCTCGTCGGGATCCCGGCGCGGAGGGGGAGGGGCGCCCGGAGCTCGGCCGAGCGCGGCCCGCGCCGCGGCAGCTGCGCTCGCGAGCCGGGAGCCGCGGCGTCTGGCGCCCGGGGTCAGCTGAGCGGCGCTCGGGCTGTGGGAGCGCGGGCCGGGCTGCGGGGGGCGGGGGAGGGCGCGCGCGCGCCGGCGCGCCGAGGGGGACCGGGTCGCGCGCGGGGGCCGGGCGCGCGCTCGCCGGGCGCCGGCAGGCTGCGCGCTCGGGTCTGGCTGCTAACGGGGGATGGTGCTCACCCTCCGTGACCAGTAATAATGAGAATAACGAGATGCTGCGCGGACGGAGGTGGCCGGCCGCTGCGAAGCCGCTGCCCGAGCTGTGCGAAGCGCCGGCGCACGTGCAGAAAGAAGCCCGACCCTGTAAACCCTCGCCCTTGCGTTCCGCGAGCCCTCGCCCTCGCTCCCCAGGCCGTCGGTGACGCCGGGCGGTGAGGCAGGCAAATGCACTACAGCTGCGTGCCCGCCGCGCGCTGACGCGGCCGAACCCCCAGTGACTGACCCTGACCCCGCCGCTGCCGGCCCGCAGGGAACCGGACTCGGGCCCGAACTCGGCTCCGCACGCCTTCCCGCCGTTCTGTTCTGGAGGAAGGCGGGCGCCGCCATCCCGGCCCCGTGCGCACGGCCCGCGCCGCTGCCCTCCTCTGCGGGGCTGAGGGTCCCCGCGGGCGGACGCGGAGAACCCGCTTATTTGGCTGTTTGCGGCTCCTCCTGGCCGTGGGCAGGGGCTTCGGCTTCCACGGGACTGGGGTCCCTGCGGCTCCGCTTCCGCCTCCCTTCCTGCGAATGCGGCCGCGGGCCGCGCACATGGCGGAGTCTGGGGGACGCCCGGGTGGGGTTCTCGGCTGCCGGCTCCCGCCGCTGGCCTGGGCCAGGCTTTCGTGGGCATCTGGGAAGTGAACCTGCTGGAACGATGATCATTCGTTCTCTCGCTGACTCGCTCAAGTAATTAAAAACATTTTAAAAGCAGGGGCGGGCCGGGGGCATCGTGGTGTGGACTTGGGACAGCTGTGCGAGTTCAAGTCCCAAGTGCTCTGCTCTCATCCGGCTTCTTGCCAATGCCTCCTGGGAGGCAGCAGATGATGGCCCAAATGCTTGGGCCCACGTGGGAGATCCTGTTCGATTCCTGGCTCCGGCGGGTTGTGGGCATTTGTGTGGTTAACCAGAAAATGGAGTAACTCTGCCTCTGTCTCTTCTGCGCTCTCTGATGCTCTGCCTTTCAAATAAATCGATCTTAAAACACACACACACACACACACACACACACACAGGTGACCCTAGGTAATTGACCATTAATTCTGCACCCTGTGCTTTTCCTTCAAAACACTGGCCATGGCTTTTCTGTCATCGCGTCTTAGCTGGGTTGTAAAACCCCAGAGCAGGAGGTACACTGGTTTATTACACTAGGGGACATCAAGAAGTTGCCAGAGATGGTGTGGTAAAGCAGGTTAAGCCCTTGCTTGGGACGCCCGGTTCCCATATCAGTATAAATTTCAGTCCAGTTCCTCCCCTGTGGAGCTCCCTACTAACCTGGTAGGCACCTGGTCATGGCCCAAGTGCTTGGGTCTCTGCACCCACATGCATGACAAAGATGGAGCTGTTGGCTCCACCTTGGTGCCTGACCTATCTATTCCTGGCTGTTACTGGCATCTGGGAGTGAACCAGCAGATCAAAGATATCTCTCTGCCACTCTCAAATAAATAAACCGAAATACTCGTGAAAAATATATAGATAATGTGTGTGTCTATATATATGTGAATATATTTATGTTACAAGCTTATTTTGCAAAAAAAATAAAAACATGCATGGTTTTTTATCATAATACACATTTTCCATGAACTTTTTGAAGACTTCATAGTCCCAGCATCCAGCAGAACTTTGGTCCCATGTGGTCCTTTTGTTTGTATTTGAGCAAATGAAAACAGGGTAATTAGCTAGGCAGTAGCAGATTGTTGATATTACTAGCAAGTAAAGTTTAATTATCTGTGACATATTATCACATGTTAATTTATTTTTTTAAGATTTATGTATTTATTTATTTGAAAGGCCAAGTTACAGAGAGAGGAGAGACCAAGGAGAGAGCTTCCATCCATTGGTTTACACCCCAAACAGTCGCAACAGCCAGGAATGAGCCAGGCTGAAGCCAGGAGCCAGGAGCTTCTTCAGGGTTTCCCATGTGGGTGTAGGGGCCCAAGCACTTGGACCATTCTCTGCTGCTTTACACAGACACAGTAGCAGGGAGCTGGGTCAGAAATGGAGCAATCAGGACTCGAGCCAACGCTCACATGGGATGCTGGTGCTGCAGGCTGGGGCTTTAACCCTCTGAGCCACAGTGCCAACCCCGTCAATGTACTATTACACAATGTTTTCCTTTTCCACGCATGGACAGTACTGAAATGTGCAAAATGAGGGACGTAGAGGCTGGGTGTGGAAAAATGTGTTCCATCTTTGGTGGTAGCTTCTTGCAGAATGTTTGTTAGGTTCTAGACTAATCAAACAAAACATTAGAAAACTAATTTATTGTTTTCACTAGCTGAGAGATATGTCACTAATGGTTCATCTGAACAGTAACTAATTTATGAAACTGTAGCCTTTGTGTTAATGTTTTTAAGATGAAAAGATAGAGAGCCGGCGCCGTGGCTCAATAGGCTAATCCTCCACCTTGCGGCGCCGGCACACCGGGTTCTAGTCCCGGTTGGGGCGCCGGATTCTGTCCCGGTTGCCCCTCTTCCAGGCCAGCTCTCTGCTATGGCCAGGGAGTGCAGTGGAGGATGGCCCAGGTGCTTGGGCCCTGCACCCCATGGGAGACCAGGAAAAGCACCTGGCTCCTGGCTCCTGCCAGGATCAGCGCGGTGCGCCGGCTGCAGCGGCGGCCATTGGAGGGTGAACCAGCGGCAAAGGAAGACCTTTCTCTCTCTGTCTCTCTCTCTCACTGTCCACTCTGCCTGTCAAAAAAAAAAAAAAAAAAGATGAAAAGATAGAATCCCCAACAAACAGCACATTCCATTATAATGTGTAAATCTCATGAAAATATACAGAATCCCTAAGATCTTTCCTAAAGCCATCAAGGTCACACAAGCCACACATTACAAGATCAAAGTTGACAAAACATGAGAACTTTCCTAATTATCACTTCAGGTGACACTGTGTAAGTTAGGCTGCAATGAAATAATTTTCAAAGAAAAGTCAAGAATTAGCTATGTATAAGTGCATACATATTTTCCTCTAAAATAATAACATAGAAATAACCTCGTAGGGTAGGTATCTAGCCTAGCAGTTGAAATACCCTTGTCCCACATTGGAGTACTTGGGTTTGATTCCTGGCCCCAGCTCCTGACTGCAGCTCCCAGCTAATGCAGACCCTGGGAGGTGTCAGTGTTGGCCCAAGTGATTGGGTTCCTGCTGTCAATATAGGACATCTGGATTGTGTCCCAGCTCCCAGCTTCACTTTTCCTAGGAGGGGAAGGGTCAATGAGTGGAAGGGAGCGCTGTCTGTCTCTCCCTCTGTTTCTCTCTCAAATAAATAAGTAAAAAATTTAAATCAAAGGAAATAAATAAGTCATGTGAACAGAAATGACTGAAATCTTCCAAAATATTTGAATTGTGTTGGGGCCAGAGCTGTGGCATGGCGATTTGTGTTTCTGCCTATGGTGATGGCATCCTGTATGAGTACTGGTTCGAGTCCCAGCTGCTTCTCTTCAGGTCCAGCTCTCTGCTATGGTTTGGGAAAGCAGTGGAAGGTGGCCTAAGTTCTTAGGCTCCTGCACTCACTTGGGAAACCCAGAAGAATCTCCTGGCTCCTGGCTCCAGATAGGCCCAGCTCTGGCCACTGTGGCCATTTGAAGAGTGAACCAGCAGATGGAAAACCTCTCTCTCTCTCTGTCTCTCCCTCTCTCTGTCTGCAACTCTGTCTCTCAAATAAATAAATAAATCTTAAAACATAGATAAGTAAATATTGTTGAGCAGGAGAGAAAACACACCCTCTTAGAAAATTAAAACAACCCTGTCCACAGCTTCCTTCATCACCAACACACTAGCCACACATACAACTGAGAGAGGAGGGATTGCTAAGGGAACTACTGAGCCCCTGCAGACATGAGTGGGACCACCTTCTAGTAGTCATGGTCAGCATGTGCCACTAGGTTGGCAGAGCCCAGTCAACCCCTCACTCCTCTGCAGGGCACAGCTACTCCAAGCATACCAGGTGTTTCATCTGAGGTTTTCCCAGAGAGAGCTTACATCCACCAGCTCACTCCCCAAATGCCCACATGAGCCAGGGGTGGGCTAGGTACAAGTACTGGAAAAGTACTAGAAGCCCAGTACTCAAGCCCAGGGCTCCCACATGGATTTCAGGTACCAGAGCACCTGAGTCTCATCATCTGCTGCCTCCTGGGGTGCCTGTTAGCGAGAAGCTAAAATCGGAAGTGGTGCTGGAACTCAACCAGGCGTTCCAATATGGGATGCAGCATCCCAGGTAGCGATGTCACTGCTCCACCAAACGCCTCTCCCTAAATTTACCTTTTAATTTCAACTTCCCATGAACATTTTTAAGTCCCTTATTATCACGCTGCCAACCAAAGGAAATCCTGGGAGACATTTTCTTCTGTCACCGTTTTTAGTTTTCTGGGAACATCTTACAACAACTATCTGTTTGGAAAATCAATCATCTCATTCCTTCATCAAAATTTCAGAAAAAAAGCATTTGTTTATGCCAGTAAGAGTTTGGTACTGGTGCTGGCAAGGTGAAGCAACAGGGTAAGCTGCTGCCTATGATGCTGGTATCCCACATCAGAGTGCTCCTTGGATTCCCAGCTGCTCCGCTTCGAATCCAGCTCCCCGCTAATGTGCCTGGGAAAGCAGCAGAAGATGGTCCAAGTCCTTGGGCCCCTGTCACCCACATGGGACACCTGGATGCAGTTCTATGCTCCTGGCTTCAGCCTGGCCCAGCCCCAGCTGTTGCAAGCATCTGGTAAGTGAACCAGCAGATGGAAGATCTCTCCGTGTCTCTATCTCTCTCTGTGTAACTCTGCCTTTTAAATAAATAAATGAATAGAAAAAAAAAGAATTTGGCAGCAAATCAACTGCCTCATAGTTTTGCATAAATCTCTTGCTACCTTATACCAAGTCCAATATTATCAATAATCTCTGTATAAGTCATTGTGCTTTATGACTATGAAGCCAAATAAGTTTATAGTCTAGTAGGAAGGAACATACCTCTCAAAATTAATGAAAATATCCACAAGAGAATAAAAAGTAAAAATGTGGTGTATTCCACACGACAAATTCCAGCAGGGCTATGATGTGCAGAGAGTAGGGAGGACGTTCTTGCTAAGGAATTCTGTAAGATAATACAGCATGGAAGAACTGAGATTTGGGATGGGTCGTGCAAGAGGCCCAGGGCTGCACAGGGCAGAGATGGGAAGGAAGATGTCCCAAACGCAGGGGAGAGGCCGTGGCTGGACAGTGTGTGCTGGGCAGTAGTCCCATGCAGGGCCAGAGCCTGAAGACCCTTGCATGACGGCCAAGGGGAGTTGAACTCACTTTCTTATAATTCCTTGGAAATGCCTGAATGATGGACTTTGTTCTTAAATAAAGACTTTATATTT